AAACCAGTTGAGTAGGGACTAATATGTACTTCATATTCCTTAGCTGAATGGTTTCAGCTGCTTCAAGTGACAGTAGCAATAATAAGATGTCTGGAGTTAGGAGTTACTGCCTGGGCTGGCATTCACAGAAGTTTAGGAGGCTGTTCAAGGTATTAATTAGCTTGTGGGTTTCTTCTCGCACTGAATTGAGTATAGCTGATCAACATCTGTGGTCTTCTCTTTCTTTTATTTGCTGACCTTTTTGCTCTGAGGGATATTTTTTATTTGTGTAGCCTGGCCGAGAAATGCTTCTGACGCAATTCAGGTTTAATAAATTGCATTGGTATGAGTTGTTTGAAGAACTTGCTGCTCCTGTGTCTGCCAGCAGACTTCAGTGGCACAGAGGGGAATATGCAGCTGAAGTGAGTAGGATGCTGGAGTCTACAGGGATTGGATTTCCATATGAAATGCAGGCACAATTTCAGTAACATATTTGGGAGAAACAGATGGTGCTTGGGCTGTGTTGTATCTTGGTTGGATCAGCTGAATTTAGAGTATTAGAAATACAAAAAATCAGTTGAATTGAGAGTAGCAAACCTAGCCTTGCTCCTGTGCTACCCAAAATGTAGCCCAAGGTCAGCTACAGCCCACAAAGTACTTCTGTCTTGTGCATTACGAGGCAGGGAGAAAGCAAGTGATTACTCAAGTAACAGAAATCTGAGGAGTCGAAATGAGAAGCAGTTTCTCTTTTGAGAGAGAAAGGCATGAGCAAATGCAGCTGTTTATCTTGGAAATATGAAGGTGATTGCTACCCAACTTCATGTCATGGTCCACTTTAACCAGAGGTTACTAATGGTGTCATTGTGCTCACAACGGCTGGTTCAGTCTTTCCCATGGTAGTTCCATGAAGGAGCTGACTGAACCGGTGTGACCACTGAAACCTTGTCTTTGCAGGTTGTATGGTGGGATGAACTATCGGCGGCTGGGAGGAGGAGTAGGTGTTATCAAAATGACACACTGTGAATCCCATATATGGTAAGCATCAAGAGGGAGGGAGACCCCTTGGTTCTCATTCCTAGAAAAACCTGAAGAGACTTGTTGACACTGGACCTCTTTGCAGCTCTAGTATGAACGGTCTAGATCCAACGTAACTCTTTGGCTGGTGACTCTTTCTATGGAATTTTAAAAATGACTTCTGTGAGAGTGTGCCCAATGGGAGACCACGTTGTCAGACTCCAGGGAACCACTGGACAAAAGTAGAAGTGTTGCTTTATGTCCATATTTTTTCTAAATAGTCTACATTTTTTAATAAACCAAACTGTAAAAGTTATTGTAGCATAACCAATGCTGATGTAGAGACCACGTGCTATACTGGGAGTCTGGCAAGGAGAGGAGGGTTTCTTGCTTTCCCTCCCTGCTGTGAGCAGTGGATGTGGCAGCTGTGTGGTGGGCGAAAGGGGAAAGTGATACAGAAAACATTGCTTTTGCCTTATTTACAGAGAGCTTCAATAAAAAGTACTTGACCTGCAAGGTGCCACCTTAGCACAGAAGCTTTTCTGTGCACAGAGTATATTTATTTTTTCATTTAATTTGTATCATGTATTTTCTTTGTATTGCTCACAGTGATAATTCCAGCTTTTTATATATATGTGTGCATATATATATGTATTTTATATATATATATGTGCATGTGCGATTTGAGTTTTGACAAAGCTGGTGGTCAGGGCAGGGCTATGTCCTGCTGGCTATTGTGGTTCCAACCCTTGTGGTATGTTTTAGGGTCTCTTAGAATACAGGAGAGCTATGAGGATGGGTGCCCTGAATATCTTTTCAGTCTTGCTGGAAGCAAGAAGTAGAACTGGAACTCTCATCTATTGACTGAATCAGTGAAGTGCCCAGAAAGGGTGAGAGTGAAAAGGAATTCAAATGATGCCTTTTTACTGTACAGTGTATGGTACAAAAGTTCACCTTTTGTCTCTCCCCTCCCCTGTATATGAACCTAGAAACAACTAGTTGTTGCTCACTTAGGAAAACCTTTTTCTCACGTTGCCTGCTAGATAGCAGTTCTTGTCTGAAGCTGGGATGCAGGTATCATCTGTTAATTCTGACTAGCCTAGATCAACACTCACTTCTCAGGTTCTTGCTAGAACAGCAGACCCACAGTCAGCTGCTGTTGGAAAAAGCTTAGACCAGCATCATCTTAGCTGCCCTCCTGCCTCTTGTCTGTGTGTCTAGAATTCCTGTTGTAAAACACCGACCATGATGAGATGGTACCCTCCCTTTCAGTGATTTTTATGCACTTTCCTGCTCTAAACACACACAGGCAAAGGTATGAGGCTCATTAAGGAGTCTGAAGGGGAGGGACTGTTTGCTGGCACTGTGAGTAACTGTTGTGTCTCAGTGACTGCAGAGGCACCCAGGGGTGGGGGGAGAGGAAGGAAGAACTACAGACTCAAAGGTTCTGATATGTTTGTCCTGTAATTTCTATCTAGTGTGAAAGAATGATCTTTTGCACTTGATACAACTTTGGACCTTAATAAATCTAATTTTAAAAGAGTAACAGGTGAAAAAAGCAGTGCTGGTATCTTAAGTTAACTTCATAGTTTGATTCATGTAACTCAGCATTTTAACGTGCTTGAATATAGTAAAAATTACACTACAGTAATAAATGGGTCATTAAAACTTTTTTAAAAGCCCCTTTTCCCCTAAAGGTCGGTATTCTTGTGTTTACATATGGAGATCATTTGCACCTTTACAAGGAAAACAAGTATTCTGTAAACAAATGTTTACATGTATCATTTATGCTTTTTTCTAGCATGAGTAACTTGTATAAATAGTGCTATCTTAATAAATTTCTTCTATGCTGTTTTTTGTTTGTTCCTTTGGGTGAAAGCAGTGGACTGTACTTTTATACAGTTTGTGTGAACATAGATGCTGGTTTTTTTTTTTCCAATACCAATCTGAGTAAAACCACCTTAAAACTCTGCTGATTAGTGTCACCCTCTGGTGTAGAAGCACATCATTCAGAACCAGCTTTTTCTGGAAGAAAATATCTGTGCAATCTGCCTCAGTCTAGCTCTGTTGACTTAGCTGCAGTTATCAATGAGGGCTACACCCCAGTTTGCAGATAAGCATGGAAAAAAAGGAGAAAGTAGCTTTTCATTTCAGCAGTACCTTACAGCTAGGCAGTAGTAGATACCACACAGCAGCAAAGTACTGCTCTCGAAAGCTGAGTATGGCTGTAGTTCATATACATATGCCATTACGCTATTAGTCTGTGTTCTTAAGGCAAGAAGAGGTTAAAAGAAGCTATACAGAATTTTGTTTTTTTGAGATTACTTATGCAAATTTGTTGGAAAGATCTGAGCATTAGAATTAAAACTAAGCTGTGGGTGTAACAGTCCTGTTTTCAAATCAAATACAGGTGCCAGTTATGTCAGACCTCCTACTCCTGCTTTACCCAGTGTTCCTCTGAATCGAGATAGCAAACTTTGTCTAAGATGTTTCATAAAAGGAAAACTAAAGCACCAGAAGTGATAGCTTAAATAGCTGCTGAGCTGTCAAGACCTTCAGAAGATTGTTTAGCTGCTTCTACCAGGGTAAGAGTTATCACTTTACAGATTGCAGCCTTTACAAGCAAAAATAATCTGTCTTCAACTAGTAAAAAGAAACTAAAAACAAGTGCATGTTTCTTTGGCTAATTCTAGAAATAGATTCTTAAAAGTAGATTAGGAACTAAGCATGCAATAATGTCATGTTAGGCAGTTACATATTTGCATGGCTGGTTCATGTACATGTTGCTGGGGAGAAGAATGAAGAATATTTTTACTGACAGCTGACAAAAATCCTAAAATTATGTGGTTGGCCAAAGAAGGAAAAACTTGCATCCCTGCTTAGGGGGAAGGTCACAGCACAAACTCATCAGACCTTAGATATGCTGCACAAGTGTGAAGCTATTACAAGTGAATTACATAGGAAACTAGACTAAATTTTGCTGCTCGCAGAATTATTTAATAGGTAATAATGAGTGGTTTAATCACATATGCTGTAGTTGGAAATAAGCACCAAACAAATATATCAGGAAAATATATCATCAGGCAGAAGTGGTCTTTATCGGTCATCTACTAGCAAAAGATGGCAACTACTTATTTCATACTGTAATACAAAGATCATAACACTTAGCATTTACTTATTCTACTTCCTTTCTGCTTATTTAAGCTATAACCAGGTGCAGTTCACAAGTGCTCTGAACTCCTACCTGCTGTAGAAGGAGAAATCTAATATACAATTGCAGCACCCACAGCTCCAGCCCCAAGAGCTCTCTGGTGTACAACACTGCAGTCCAGGGCAACAAAAATCAGGCAAAGCATAGTAAATACCTAGCTTATACAAAGACCTCAGTTTCTATGTGTGAACTCGTCTGAGAGGACCAACAGGCTGGATGCACAAAGCAGTGGTCAGACTCATGCTGTTCACCTTAGCCCAACTGGGATGTAGATGAATTCTTTACAACTGTTACCAGCTGGCCTTAGAAGCTAGCTGTGGGTTGTAGAGCATGCATCCTTTCTCAGGTGTGCTTGACTTTACTGTTGAACCAGTCTAAATGCAGTTACAGTTTAGGTAAGACCTGTGTAGCTTAGGCTATCTAGGTAAGTGAAAACCAAACTGCTATTTGACACAACAGAAATAACCTGTCAGTAAGTTGCATCCAAGAATTTCCAAAGTTTAATCTCCTAGCCCCTACCTGATATCTACACATAAACAAACAGAGCAACTACGATAAAACAAAGGTGCTTAATAAGCTATTAGAAGTTTGTACTGTGGCTCTTCTTTAGGGCAAAATGTCTGCTTGTCTTTGCTGTGCATGACGTTGAGTTACAGCAGGTTACAGGAGTTAGAGTCCAACTTTGGACAGCCAGCATGAAAGGAAAGAAGATGCTGCACAAGTGAGTTTCCAAGCGGTTTCTCAGCATACATCTGACATTAGGTCTTCTTAGCATGAAGACTTGCTGAAATGACTCTCACTGTATCTGAGAGATTGCTAGTTCTGTCAGGAGCATCAGCACTCCAGTCAGGTATTGGCTTTGTAGAAACTGTAAGAAAGAAAAAAAGCATGTCAAAACAAAAATGGCAGTTGCCAGATTTCCATACTCTTAAATGCTTGGAAACCAACTACCATGTGTTCCATGTGATCAGTCAGCTGGTCTGTTGTTTGCAAGGTATCTTTGCTACTATTTTGACCCCAGATACGAAGAAAACACACATGCCTGCATGCTGCTCCTTTCAGAGCCCTCTGACTTCTGCTCCCATCCTGTGTGAATGCCCTGCTCGCACTCCAGCTTTGTGCAAGGTGAGAATCCTAGCACTTCTGCTCCTTGGGCTACCTCTGTAGGAAGGCCAGGAAAGAGTCTATGCCAGTTTCCTTGAATACCCATATTTTTCCATAGTGAATATGTCTGACATGAACTCATCCCCATTATGGAAGGGCCATAACTGAGTTCCAACACACATTCCAGAAGAGAACCCTTCTTCAGAAAGCCTACTCAATTGAGTAGCTCTTGTGTGTACTTCTGACATGAAAAGTATTCAGCCAGTTTTAAACTACTACAGCTAAAACTAAGCAGTGTAACACTAACATTTAGTGGTTTGCAGTTGCCCTACCGAAGGCCAAAATTATTAAGAGATGCTTCCCAGCAAAGCTTATTTTCTTTCATTTGATGAACTCATGCTCCAGGAAGGAGGTGAGTGGAGTCCCCGTTTAAGCCTCTAACATTCCCTCTCTACCCTGAACAATGGAGTCAGCACATCATAGATTAAATTTAAGCAATTGCATATTTACACAAACTGTTCTTTAATTCAGAAGACAGTGTTGTATTCCTTGAAGAAACTTCAGGAAGGATTCATCCTCCATGGTTTTAAAGCATATTAGAGACACCTCTACAAGAGAGACCAGCACCTTTATGAAAAGGGTTAGAAGGGAAGTAGTTTTAAGCAAGATGTTTTGACTCTTAAAATCATCCATCTCTTAGCTCACCCCCACACCAGTTATTTCTACATAGCAGATTAATTATAATTGTCTTTTGTCTGTGCCTTTGGAACTGCACTACTAGAAAGCTAATTAAGGTTTTTTATTAAGTTGGGGATCTTTTTAAGCCTCAGTTTTGGCCAATGGGCAAAGAAACTTTAGTGTTCGTACCCCAGCTAATATACCTATTTCTGGCCTGAGACTAAGGTTAGTAGCTTCTGCTGCAATACAGTAGTAAAATACTGTATTGATAGCTGCCTAACTCCAGAACTAAGTATGACTAATAAAAGCTGAGCGCTTAACAACTTGTAGGAAATCATGCATAAGAAACACGAAACCTTCATTTTTAAGAGTAAGGCATTTCTAGACAGGTAAAGCTATTTTATTTGTCCAGCATTAGTTAGGACAACATGCTACTTGAAACCTCACCTTTATAAACCCGTCGCAGTGTGCTGAGGCAATGGCTGTAGAAACCTTCACCAGTTTTGTGGCTGACAAGCGGATCTTAAAGTGTCTGTGGAAGTGAGAGTAAAGGCAGTCCATAAAGACATCCACCTCTTCTTGAGTGATCTCTCCTGGAGTTTTTTGGACGGTGTCCCACAGATCTTTTGCGTCCTCTGGATGAATGGCATACAAAATATCCAGAGGCTGGGGCAGAGAGGGCACAGAAAAAACAAGTTCCAGGGCAGACGCGGTTTTGTCCACTTTGCATCCAGTCCACATAGCTGCCATCCAGCTGAGGTTGAGAGGGCTGATGGCTAAACGGCGGAAGCAGCAGTCAAAAGTCTTCTGAAACCAGCTTCCAACAATGGACGTGTAACTGTCTGCCCCATTAGCAAGAAACAGAGGTAAACAAGTGAAGTCCTCTGGCACACGCTCGGAAAGATCATCTCCAGACACGCAGCAGAACCAGCCCGACCATAGCAGTTTCTCTTCGGAATTTTTTCGAGAGGCCGATGATCTCGAGGAAAGCTGGGATGGGGAAAAGAAGCATTTGACTTTAACCAAATTTTTTTTTGCTTTATCATTTCAAGGGTTTGGTAGATTTTTCTCAGGACCTCTTGTGCAACATTCTTTTCTGTCAAGCTCATACAGTTACTCAGTCTCCACTACAGGCCTAAAAGGTGCAGGCAATTCTGGTGAAAACAGTGGGAAAAGCACTTTTTACTTTATTAGGAACAGTCCTGAAATCCGACTGCATGCTGCTTAAAAAGAGCCAGTCCGTGGTACATCCTATGACCACTGCCATACTGAACTTGGCATTTCAGCAGCATCTTTCACCTGAGACAAAGATTTCAGAAATACAAATTAGACTTGAGCTGTGGCCAGGAGGTAGGATTATCCCAGCTTGATCCAGAAAGCTCGAGTTCTCACAGTAAATTGACTACTGAACTAAAAAAAAAAAATCAGACAAAAATTGCTCCTTAAAGTCTTACTCTGATCTTACCAAAAAGTTCAACTCAAAAACTGCAGTTAAACGTACCCATTGCTCATGAGATGTTCCAGTTAAAAACAGATGGGACTCATTTTCATTAGATTTCAATAGATACTATAGTAGATATTCCATACAGCTAGGCTTTAGCATTATGGGGTTTTTTTAAGAGACAGAGTATTTTCTGACAGCAAAAGCAACTTGTAAAACGCAAGCCTGAGTGAGAAGACTCCTCACCTGCACGAGAACCGCGGCCTGGTCTTGGTCGCTGCCTCTCAGGTCTGGGAGGCTGGAGACGGCCACCTTGATGTCCAGCTCCACCCCGCCTCCCCCCGCCAGCCCCTTCTGCTTCTCGGCGGCGATGAAGGCACCCAGCAGCCTCCCGTAATCCCTCAGCCGAGCCCCCGAGAACCGGTACAGCGGGGTCACGCTGTAGAGGGTCCACTGCTTGCGCAGGAGGAACGCTGTTTGCTGGGGACCGACGTTTTCCTAAAACGAAAAAAGGAAATAATGTTAAACTCCAACAATAAGGGCAGCGTCCCCCTTCAGGGGCGGGTTTCCCTCCTGGGAGCGGTGCGCGGAACGGAGG